CTATTGTCTGGTTTCCTGAGCCTGTCCTGAGGCAAAATTCTTAATTTCCTTATCTGGCGAAATTTTATTAAGCCAACTCGTGAGATCTAGTGGTTAAACGATAACCTTCTTGCTCCCAAATTACGTGATCAGGAAGCTCCATTATTAGTGATCACCCCTGCACAGAGCTCGCAATCAACTAGTTCACAATGGTGCAGGCATCCTGGTTGTTAAATACTGAGATATACCCGAATGCTGCTTTCAGGCCATACGTGGAATCCAAAAAGCTATAACATAAAATGAATGAGTTTGAGGGGTATGTGAGGGAAGGTCTTACTTGGAAGTTATTGGAACATGGTATTCCACGTGGGTCTGAAGAAATACAAGCAAGTACAAATGTAAAGAAAGGGAAATTACTACTGTTCACAACTGATCATAGATGGAACTGAGAAAGTCTCATGGTTACCTTCTGACCCCATCCCATTCCAGGTGAGACTGGGAGCTTGAGATGAGCAGGGTGGGGACAAGAGTCAAACTCCAATACCGTCTCGCCCCTCCAGCCTCCCCAGGATCCAGCAAACAAAGGGCCAATGCTTGAAGGTGGCGTTAGGACCCTGTTCCAGAGCTACTTGGTGGCCACTCTGATTTCAGTTCTCCTGGTAATACCTATCCCTACGTGCTCATATTCTGGGAACCCAGGACTGGGGAGAACCAGGCTTCCACCCACTACCTGATCTCTCTCCCCTTTGATTCTCTGTCTCCCTAAACTGGACCTTAGCAGAAAGAGTAAACCTCATGCCTTTTAGTCTTCAAGGCTAAGTCTAGCCATTACTGGCCAGAGTCACCCTTGAGGTAGCTCACCAGGGGCCACCACTGGCTCTCTCTAGACCCAGTGGAATATTTCTGTCCCTCCAGGCATTCTTGTGAATCCCTAGGGGATGGTTGGGCCCAGTGACGTTTTGGGGCTAGGAGATATCATAATTTGCCGTAACTTTCTATTACATTTCAACTCTATTAAATGGAAGGAATTTGTTAAAAATATGCCACTTGCTTACCAAGGGAGTACTAACAATATGAATTGTATTAAGAAAAATTAGAACTAGGTGGCTTAGTCAGTTGAGCATCTGACTCTTGATTTTGGCTAAGGTCATGACCTCATGGTTAATGGGATTGAATCCCACACTGGGAGCACGAAGCCTGCTTGGGATTCTCTCTCTCTCTCCCTGCCCCTCCCCTGCTCCCAGGTGCTCTCACTCCCTCTCCCTCTCAAAATAAATAAATGAACTTTAAAAATACAAAGAATAATTAGAACTAATATCTGTGTAGCATTTGCCTTATGCCAGGTGTCGTTCTCATATATCACTCATTGAAGTAGAACACTAAGAATGATCGTCCCCATTGTACAGCTGAAAACTTATATAGAACTTGAGTGGCAGAGCTATGATTCTAACCTTGACAACCACCCAAGAGTGTGCCTCCCATTCAGCCTGAAGGATTAGGTGTGAACTTATTAAATATGAAATATTATTAAATATTATAAACTGTTTTCATAGACCTATCAAAGTTATTAAAGAACACTGTTATAGGACCTAGAAAAAATTTTTAAATTTATAATTGCTGTTAGCTTAGTAAAAAATAGAGATGATACAAAAGCATCAAAAATAATGTTAATGGGGAAAAAACTTTTTACGTATTGAGATTGCAAATCACTCCGTGGCTACCCACTTAAAGAGGAAGTTATTAGAAGAAAAATGATACGAAAACTATTGGATATTCCATGAAAAATTTGCTCTTCAAATTTTAATTTGGTAATTATACAAAAATTTATATAAGTCTAGAGAATAAAAAGGCATTTTAAAAATTCACGATATATGCAGTAATTTATGGAATTTGCTAGTTGTCATAATCCAGTATGCCTTGTGTGGACCAGGCATCTTCCATACCTACCTTTGATTGGCGCACTCTGTGAATGGGAGCGGGGATAGAACATTTCTCCCAATGGAAAAGAAGTATTGCAGCATAGACTGTATGTAAGCTGTGGAAGCGATTTAAGCTCTGATAAATATTAACTTTTGCATGCAAGACTGTCTACATAATTTGCAGGGCCCAGTCCAAAAGGGATATTCAGGGCCCCTTGTTCAAAAACTATTAAACATTCAAGATGGTGACATCAGAGCATTAATATATGTATATTATTAATAATATGCAATGTGTGCATCAGGCCACACATTGACAGCAAGGTGCCTACTTGGGATTCTCTCTCTCCCTTTCCCTCTGCCCTGTCCCCACTGGCTCACGCATGCGTATGTGTGCTCGCTCACTCTCTCTCTCTCTCAAAAAAAAGAGTTGTACTTGCAAAGGTGAAGGGAACAAGAGGAGAATAATAAAGAAATGAAAATAAATTTCTGGAAAAGAGGAAGTGAATAAAAGCATGGTGACAAGTGACTCAGAAAAAAAAGAAACTGCACCCCCACGTAATTTCAAGACAGATATACAGCAGAATTGGGAATCAGCTACCCAGGCATTATGTGGATGTGGGGTTGGCAGGTGCAGTGAGGAGGTGACTCCGAGTGCAAGTACTATATTAGCTGGAGAGCACAATTCACCATCTCCCTGCCTGCGCACAGGCAGCCCTGTGACTACACGCAGGCATAAAACTGGAACACACCTCTGAAGAAATTTAACCAATAGCCCAGGGAAAACTAATGCTGACTTAGGAGGGAAACAAATATACATCACAAATAAAAGAGGAAAAGACCACACCCTGGCTATCTAGAAAAATTAACTCAGATCTTGATGATTGAATATTAAAAAAAAAAAAAAATCACCAGACATGAAGAATTGCAGCAGTATGAATGGGAAATGACTAGATAATGTAACAGAAAAAGGGCACAAGAAAACAATTCAGTCAACAGAAGAGAAATCTAAAAATTGTTATCCTCAGAGGGGTACTTAGGTGGCTCATTCTGTTAAGCCTCTGACTTCAGCTCAGGTCATGCATGATCTTGCAGTTTGTAAGTTCAAGCCCTGCATCTGGCTCTGTACTGAGCTCAGAAGCTCAGAGCCTGGAGCCTGCTTTGAGTTCTGTTTCTCCCTCTCTCTGCCCCTCCCTTGTTCTCTCTCTCTCTCTCTCTCTCTCTCTCTCTCTCTCTCAAAAATAAACAAATATTAAGGAAAAAATTTTAAGAGAGTGTTATCCCCAGAGATATTTCAGAAAAGCGCACTTGTGAAACAAAAATCTGGTGCGATTTAATAAAGGAGGAGGTCTTAGGAAGTATTTTTGGTTAATAGCCAAGATCACTTTTAAAAAGTTTAATAGAAGGTTTGGAAGGTACATTGAGATATCTCCCAAAAACATTAAGCAAAAAAGATAAATTAATGAAATACATGAGGTGAAAAAAAGATAACCATAGGAAATTGTCCCAGGATGCTGCCATCTGACAGATTTCCTGAGTGTGCGAAATCAGAGAAAATGGCAGGAAAGACATTTCAAAGAAATAATAGAAAAATATTTCCAGAGAGAAAGAGAGAAATGAATCTTCAGCTGAAGAGGACCAAATTAGTGCTAAACAGATTAAATTTAAAGACCTCCACTTAGAGATATTATGGTGGCATTTCAGAACATGATAAACAATTAAAAGATCACAAATGCTTCCCAATGGAAAACAATAGTTCCCCCTCAAAGACTGGAGAAGGAGACTGACACATTTCTGGGCATCAACATTGGAAGAATTAGGTCAGTGGAACTATGCTTTTGAGATCTAAGAGAAACTAATATCGAACCTAGAATTCCATGCTAGGCAAATTATAAAGGGGTGGGCAAAATAAGAACATTTTAAAACATACAGCTACTCAATGGGGCGCCTGGGTGGCTTAGTCGGTTAAGCGTCCGACTTTCGCTTAGGTCATGATCTCGCGGTTCGTGGGTTCGAGCCCCGCGTTGGGCTCTGTGCTGACTGCCAGCTCGGAGCCTGGAGCCTGTTTCAGTCTGTGACTCCCTCTCTCTCTGACCCTCCCCTGCTCACGCTGTCTCTCTCTCTCTCTCCTAGAAATAAATAAAACATTAAAAATTACTTTAAAACATACAGCTACTCAAAATTCGTGCCTCCTATACATGGTCTTGGAGTTTATTTGGGAGGTACTCAAGTAAGATATATACAAGAAACGTCTGTTTTAAATTCAGGAACCCAGTGAAAGAAACCACAGATCACTTCTCAGCTGGAAGAGCAGAAATAGTTAGTCTAAGTTAGAACAGAAAGTTAGTAGGTTCCTAAAGTCTTCACGAAGAATTCATTGGATTTAAAGCAAGGGAGAGGCGTGAAAAGCTGCATGTTCTTAGAGATACTGTAAAGAAGCTTACAGTTAGAAAAAGAAAGGCAGTTAGAATCTCTAGTAAAAAAACCCCAACAATGAAGATTGCATTAGAAAACTCATCATTCAATAGAAAGAAAACTGAAATATGTTATGATTTTCAATGTGGGATAAGAAAAGAGAAGTCATTTATCTGTGTGTATTCCCCTTAATGTGACACAGAGGTCCGTGACTCAGAGGTCCCTACGCAGTTCTTGCATTTGAAGAGCTCCTGGCACCACAGCGGGAGGCACCGCTGTGGGGGAGGGACTCAGGACAGCGACGTCTGAAAAACGGAGCCCCAATTACAGAAGAGGTACACAGAGAGGCAACTTCTCGCCTCCCCAGCTCCCAAGCTCAGCTACAGCCCCCTCACTCCACAATCCCTCGCCAAACTTCCCTACTTCCGCCCACAGCACTCCGCGCTTCGTCACGCGAACTGAGCCTGCGCCAACTCTACTGCGCAGGCTCCAAGTCCGGTCCGCGCGGATTGCAAACCCTGAGGCATTCCGGGGGAGGAGCGAACCTCGGGGTGGGGCGGAGTCTCGAGGTCAAATGACGGACATGATTGGCCAGCCGCGGGGTACTCATTCCTTTGTGGGCGGAGCCTCACCCTGGAGCCACGTCTAGTAAACTGTTCTCCTAATTTGGGAAGGGTCAGGCGCGGGCGGGGCGTGGAGCTGAGAGCGGCGGGGTGTGCGCCTGCGCCGAGCTCCGGGACAGGGCGTGTTCCTCGTTCCGGTCGGCGTTTTGCTACGAACCAGTGCATCTCTTCCCACTCAAGTGCGCCCTGCGGAAACCTGTGGTTCCCTCGCCCAGCCTGACAGGTGCTGCCCTCCGCGGTGAGTGTGTGTGGCTTTGCACTTGGGTTCGCTTCTCTCCGCGCCACCGGAGTAGCGCCGGACGCTTCCCACGCTCCTGCCCCGCCCCGTCCCCTCCCCCTCCCCGCTCCCGGACCCTGCCCGCCGACGCCCACCTTCCAAGCCTGGGGGAAAACCGGGCGCTGCCAGCCCCGGACGTCTTCCCTTTCTCTCCCTGCACCCCCTTGGCCGCCGCCCACGTGCTTCTTGTTGTCATTGCTACAGAACATGTCCAAGTCTCTGAAAAAGTTGGTGGAGGAGAGCCGGGAGAAGAACCAGCCGGAAGTGGACATGAGTGACCGCGGCATCTCCAACATGCTGGATGTCAACGGCTTGTGTAAGTTCTCGGTCAAGGCCTTCCCTTTGGAACAGCTTGTAGGGTTTATAAATTTTCCAAGTAGCCGCCGGCCGTGGTATGAGAGGTTGTAAAGATCTACATCCCGCGCCCTGCTTGTAAACCTCGCTTGCCGAGAGCTTAGCCCAGAAAGTTTGCAATCAGAATGTGTTCTTTCCGGATTGCAAGATGAACCTGAGAGTCCAGGGTAAGAATCACACGGACGTGTGTAGCTGCGCCTCATTGTTGCCTATGGTAATGGTTTGCATTTGGGTGTATTTCTCTCACAGTGTCCTTAATACCCACTTTATTTTTAAGTGAAAATCCTTTTGGGGACGCCTACGTGGCTCAGTCAGTTTAAGCATCAGACTTGACTCTTAGGGTTCTTGAGTTTGCTGCTTGGGATTTCTCTCTCCCTCTGCCCTTCCCCTACTTACAGGCGGCCTCTCTCTCTTTCAAAAAAATAAACATTAAAAAAAGAAAGGAATAATTTTTGAATCATGCTTTCTTTCTCCTAATATAGTCCCTGATCCTTGAACAATTGCCACACAAAACTTAAGCGTGGAGGCATACTCCACACATAATGCCTGGAGTATGTTAAACAGTTCTTGACTCTACCCTTTTTTGGCTCTTTATTCTGCTTAGTTGAGGCTTATTGTTAGTGCCTTCTTGTGCTACTGTGATGTCTCCTTTTCCCTCTTACCCCCAGTTTTGCTGAGCCTGTGGGTTAGCCACTGTATTGCTTTCAAGTGTTCTTTTTCTCCAATTTATCTTGCTGTATAACTCTCTAAACCAGAGATTGCAAACTCACCTGTCTATTGGGGCCAGGTGAGGGTGGCCATGGACTTCGTGATAAGAATCTCATCTGAAGGGGGGTGGCTGCGACACCTGCTACTCGCATCCAGTTGTCTCCACCTGGGGATACGGATTTAGCGTTGCCAGAGTTGTTTTTTAAGAAAGCCATGAATCCAGATTTTTGTATGAAATTTCCTTATTTTTAGAAGTTGACAACCAGTTCCAAAATTTGAAAAATAAGTTTTTTAATGTTTATTGTTTATTTTTGAGAGAGAGCGCGCATGAGTAGGGGAGGTACAGATAGAGGGAGACACAATCGGAAGCAGGCTGCAGGCTCCGAGCTGTGAGCACAGAGCCCGATGCAGGGCTCGAACCCACGAACTGTGAGATCATGACCTGAGCTGAAGTCACACGCTTAACCGACTTAGGCGCCCCTGAAAAAATAATTTATAGGTGAAATAAAACCCTTCTTCAGGCGGAACGTGGCTTCAGGTTGGACCTTCTCCTTTCAGCACTTCTCCTGGGTGTTCATTACCAACAGTAATGTTCCAGGTTCTTTGGCATGACACGCGGAGCCTTTCTGAATCCAACCAAAACCTACCTTAGTGCCTGTCCTTTCCATGCGTTCGTTGTCCCTGGCCATACTGAACGGACTGCCCGTCCTGCACCAGGGCACACTCTTTCAGGTCTCTGTGCTTTAGAAGTATTGTTGTCTTCCTCTCCTTTTCCCCCCACGCCTTTTTACTTCCCTGTCAAGAGTCAGCTCATTTGTCACAGCCTCTGTGAAGCCCTTTCTGTCGGTATCAAGCGAACGCAGTCCTTTCTCTGTGACGTTGGCCACGCCTGGCTTCATGACTCTTGTGACACGGGACTGGGATGCGTTCTTCTTGTAGATTTCTCTCGTCCACACTGGAGACTGAGGACGACGTTGTTGTGCGGTCCGCATATTTGTCCGCTCTAGAGTGCCGGGGACACAGTGGACACGGGACACTGCTCAGAAATGTTGGATTGATGGTGGAAAGCCTGATGGGTTAGGCCCGAGAGTTGATGAGCTCCAGATCAGGACACGACTTTGGAGAAGGAGGGATGTCCCGGAGGCCCTAAAAGATGATGGACTCTTTGTTAGGAGAGAGATAGGCACGGAGAGATCAGAGTCACCTTTACTGTGAATGCGTGGCTTGTGCCCAGGACACATTGGGGGTGGGCTCTTGAGCCATCTCTGCAGAAGGAACGGGGATGAGAAGTCCTAGGCAGGTTGTATTTGGTAACCCTTTGGAACATGCCTACCCTTCAGCTTTCGTGCTAAGTAGCATCTCAGCCTTTTGAGATGTGTCGGCCTCTCTCAACGTTGATGGCATCTTGGGGGCAGCAGCAGAGCCAGTGTCCCTGGGACTGAATTGGCAGTTGCAGATCTGGATGCGTGTGTGCTTGTGCTACCCCTTCCTGGCTCTGCTTGGTTGTGGTGACCACCGGGGGCTCTGCTGTCATCGAGGATGGGGAGTGCAAGGGGGAGGCCTGGCTCGGCTGTACTTCTGGCCCCGTGGCTTTCTGCTCCTCCTCATGGCCGAGGAGGAGCTTGATAGCCCTCTGCTTTGAAGTGGATTCTTGATGTACTATTTGTAAGGAGGGAGAGTGGCATAGCTATTTCGGTTCACTTGCATTATCTATTTGAAGCCTTGGCTTTTACTGAAGAAGAAAAGATAGCCACTTGCTTCCTGAGAAAGCTGTTTCCGGTGTAATATCAGGTGGTAAAGAGCAAGATCTTTCTTCCTTTCTCCCAGAGAAGTAGCTTAAGGAAGAGCAAAGACGCTTCTTGGGGAGTATGGGCAAGTAAGTTTAGAAATTTTCCACCTCTTCCAGCTTCTGGGGTGTGTGGAGCCCCACAGGGTGGCCGCTTTCTGCCGTAACTGTCTGGCTTTTGGACTCGTGGAGTCTAGACAGTTCCAGGATGCCTCCAGGAGTCCATTTCTTGACTGGGGCTCATTTATTGGTAGTACACATAATGCTTACTGTATATATTTTAACATTTTAGATATTAAAGTATTTGACGTGGTTACATAAACTGTAGCGTAAGAATTCCCTTATTTCTTGTGAAATTTTAACTGCGGTCTGGAGGTTTTCTTAGTATGAATGTTCAACACTGGGAAGGATTCATTCGCATGGGCAGAGAATGGCCATTGTGTCTCAAGCTTTCCCTTCATCATCCTTTACTTTGTTTAGTTTCTCAAAAGATAAAAAAGGTTTGAAAAGAATGGAAGTTTTGCACTTAATTTGAAGTGTGTGAACGGTCTCTCTTTCTGCTTGGGAGAATTGGGTCTTATAAATGTAGCACGTTACTTCTCTGAGACAGTAAATTGCCTTTGAAAAATGTTCTCAGGAGCTCAGTTACCAAAAGCTTTTTTTTTTTAATTTAATTTTTTAATGTTTTTTAAATTTATTTCTGAGAGAGAGAGAAAGTCTGAGCAGGGGAGGGTCAGAGAGAGAGAGGGAGATACAGAATCCGAAACAGGCTCCAGGCTCTGAGCTAGCTGTTAGCACAGAGCCTGATGTGGGGCTCGAACCCACAAACCGTGAGATCATGACCTGAGCTGAAGTCGGACGCTTAACCAACTGAACCACCCAGGCGCCCCCAAGTACCAAAAGCTTTCTGATGGGAAAGTCTTCATGGGCCAGAGACGGACAGCAGACAGATGCTACTGTTTTCTGTCCTGGCCGATTCTGGGCGGGGCTGGACCCCAGCCTGAGAGGTGGGGAGAATACAGTGCCTACCAGGGGGGTCCTGGAGCGGCCGAAGTTGGATCCAGATACTCCATCTTCTCCTGAACACTGTGTAACTTCAGAGAACCTACTTAACCTTTCTGAGTCCTCATTGTCAAATGGAAATGTCAGTACCCACTTCGTAGGACTGGAGTAGCACTCAGGGCACTGATGCATGTCGTGCTTGGCACTGCGCCTGGTACCGCGTGAGCACATAGTGAATGTTGACTTGAGTAGAACTGTCCAGATAGAGCCGATAAGCCCCAGATGTCACCAGTTCCGACATAGGCAATCTTCTGGACCAAGGAGAACATGGCTAATTAGACTGGGTCAGGCACTTGTGTTAGATGTTGAGCTTTTACCTGGTGGCTTCCTAGATCCCGAAGCATCTGACGCTGGGCCTAGGATTCTTCAAGATTTGGATAGCTATTTCTTTGAAATGACTCCCTCATTTTATTTTCTTTCTTATTTTTTTTTTTTCCCTACGTGGCGTGAAATCTGCACACACATTCTCCTTAATGCTTCCAAGAGTAATGGGAGCAGTTTTGTTCTCTTTATTGAAGAGGTTTCGCTGCAGACCTGTGCTGCGTGCCGCTGTCCTCACCTGGATGAGAAAGCTGCTTTTGAAGGGCCCTGTAATCAGCTTCTGCAGGAGCAGAGAATCCCATTAGCAGCTGGGGGCCTTTTTTCATTTCTTGTGTTGAAGTCTTTTGTGACTTTTTTTTTTTTTTTTAAATCTCTTCGTCAAGTGTATTGCCCTCTGGGTGGTAAACCTTTATCAGTTTTTTTTTCAGGTTGGACTAAAATGTCATTCAGGTAAATTATAAAGAAAAATAACTCGCCTTTGGGGCAGTGGTCTTTCTAAAGGACCATGCGAAATAATCAACAAATGTAATCATGGGTTTTCTGGAAGGGCTGTTTCAAAAGCCCTGTTAAACCTGGACGTGGTCACTCTGTTAGGAATTTCTTATCAGTAGAGGCTGTCTTTGAGGAAAGATAAAGGAACTGGAAGACATGTCATGTTAGGTATAATCCTCAGGAAGACCTGTCCTTTTTTATTTTTCTAAGTTGCATGGATATGCCCACCATTGTGTTTTTAAAGTTGGAGTATGTTGGCTTGGGAAGCCCTTTCCCCTTCTTTCCCAGCCAGCGTCTCTACCCCTGTCAGTGCTTATAGAAAGAAGGGATGACTTACCCAGGGCTCCATTCTTGTGTCACCTCCTCTGAGAAGCTCCCCCCAACCCCACCCCCCGGTGCTGTTTTTAACCGGCCGTCCCATCCAGCCTGGTTTAAGTGTCTCCTCTGGGCCTGGTGTGCACACCTCTCTTAACTCTGTAACTGGCACAGAGCTTGGAGGAAGTTCACCCAAGAAGGATTGCTTTCCACCGAGTCCTGCCAAGCTTGGGTAGAAAGTGTAGCGCAGGGGAGGGGACCCCTCCCCGACTCGCAGA